CTCTCCCCTTGTAAATCTAAAGTGTTTTATCTATCTCTACACAATAGCACTCCCATGATAAGTAGATTCTAGAGCACCCTCTCTCTCCTCACAGTGCCTCTCATCTCTCTCCTATGCATGCAACTTGAGATGAGAACTCTCTCTTCCATCATAGGTTTACAATTTTTTACATATATCTCACCCTTCTCCACAATCCTAAGAAATCAAGAAGAAACCGAGCTTTAGAGATCAATGGCTCATTATAAAATTAATATCTCCCATCTCGAATCCACCACATAAAAGTAGAGGAAAAAAAAAAAAAGAATAGCAAAGTTTTCCTTTCAAGCACCAAAACACCCCTTATTTTTGTATTTGTGTGGAAGTTTACTTGTAATTCTTGCTAAGTCATTTTGTGGAACTTTTGCATTACCCCCCTTACTTTCATATTTCTTTAGGGCACATTTAATCACGCAAAACACCATGCTATAATGACATGACACAAAACAATAATTAATTAAGGGTCAAGAATAATTTTCGATGCTCTTAATAATTTCTTGAAATGACTGCACTAAACAGTCAAAATTAATTTCCTTCTACTTGTCGATGGTTCACTTGAACTAGTTTGTTCTAGTCAATTGTATATTGATTTGATATCAAGTACATATCACATGTGGCAATGTGCATGTATTATGTTTGTGCCTAATGTCTACGCATATGTGCATACATAAACATACACACACACACACACACACACACACACACATATATATATATATATATATATATATATATGTTCTAGAAGGGTAATGATTATAGTCCTATTAATTATGGTTTTTGCATTTACTATTTTATAACATTTTCAAGCCAAAAATCACATTCTTGGTTCTTTTCTATAAGAAAAGAATTACTAGTGAGTTATTTTGATCTATCTTTTTAATGATTTAACCATCTGTCAATCATGTGAAATGACATGGATGACCGGATGATGTATACAAGTAATTCTATAAATTTTGTTCTTTAGTTCACCACTAAAAAATATCCAATGTATGCAAGATATTATCAACAACCATCATATTTGATTCCTTGTCATTTGAAAGTTTGTATACTATGAAATCAAAATAATAATTTCATGCAATGAGATTTATCCATTGTGAAGATTTTAATGCATTCCATTGATGATCATTCGTAAAAATTATTGAAATTACGAATTCCATTTGTTTTAATAATGTTGAAGACAATTGATGGTTATGATCTTTTATTTGAAGGTCATAGCATCAAAATTTAATTGATGGAAAAAAGGATAATTATTCTCTTTGGAGTAAAAAAATCTTCCTATATTCAACTTGGATGATGACTTAAAATTAATCATTTTTTAATTGATTTGGCATTGAATTGTCCCAAAATTAAAATATTGGGCTCCAATTGAAGGTGTCTTGCTCAAAATCAACCCTTATTATTTGTACATTGGACACAAAAACTCTTTAAGAAAATTGAGACATGACATGATCAAGCATGTGTTGAAAAACTACATAATTTTAGATTATTAACAAATAGAAATCACTTTGATAGGGAACATTTATCGAAATCACAATAAACTTGGCTGAATATGAATTTCAGCAAGGTGCGAAATCATAAATAAGAAGAACGTAGGGGGAACACAAGCGAGAAACGATTATATTGATGGTAGATGGAAGAAAAAACATAAGGTACAATGGATTCACAATTGGAGAGGAGGATCCAGTTCTTCCAATCTCTAGCCGGCGGCTAGAGCCCAGAACACCCTAAGAGTACTCCCAAATTCAGCAAACAAGACATAAAAACTAACCCCAGGGTAAACAATAAATTTAAAGTATAGAAAATATAGTTAATGCCAAAACAACCCTCCTAATTTGAATTTCCCTCATAATCCCTTCTTTAATTTTCTATTAATTGCTGCCCTTAATTGCTGTTGGACTGTTGGGCTGCACCTCCAATTAAACAGGCGGAAGCTTGTTCTGCCTAAATAACCTATTTTGCCTAAACAAGCTGAAGCCTATTTCACCTCAACAGGCTGAAGCGTCTAACAATTCTACCTCCCAAAGATTCACCTTGTTCGCAAGGTCGAAAGACGACACCCTCCTCAATTTCCTCATCATCACAGATGCTGATAACCTGAAGAGTTCGGTCCTTACATTAGTTCCCCGGTGTATACCTCTCCTTACATTTGAAATAGAGCCCCTTCGCCCTCTTCTTCTGTAACTTTGTTTTTGTGAGCTTCTTGAAGTTGCTCCTAGGTTTTCCTCCTTCAGGGTCTCCCGAAGAGTACCCGATGTTGGCTCCTTGGGTGCCAAAAAGGTGGTGGTGATCTTGTACGAACCTCTCGAGTTGCTGCCTCCAGTCCCTCTCTCCAGGTGCCTTTGATTCTCCACTAAGTGAGCTAGCTCCATAGCATCTTCTTAATCACGAGGCATCATCACTCTAATTGCAGCTCGAATCTTTGGTTTGAGCTCTTTCATAAAGCTCCTCTACAGTACAATTCCGGAAGCCGGTCCGGTCGGCTGGCCATGTGCTCAAACTGCTTACGGTATTCCACCACCGTCCTCCCCTGCGTTAGGGCGAAGAAATGCTTATAGAAGTTTCATCCCTTGCTGGTTTGTAAACGTTCCAACATGCAGTTCTTAACTCCCTCCAAGTCCCTATGGGTAGCCTCACATCCCTCCATTGGTACCATGCTAAAGCTTTCCCCTCCAAACACATCCCGACTGTCGTCAATCTCTCCTCCTCCATCAACCTATTGATGGTAAAGTACTTTTCCACCTTGTAGACAACTCATGGGCATGATCTCTCTCAAAAATAGGCATCTTCAACTTCTCCACCCTCGGATCTCCTCCATTTCCGCCCAACTCTCAAAATCAGCACCCCTTTGTTCATGGCCAACCTCCTCATGTCTATCCCCATACCCTCTATCCGGCTCCTCCCTAGGAATAGGCTCTAAGGTAGGCATTCTCTCTTCTCCCTCCTGAATCTCCATATCTTGATCTTCCCTTAAGCCGTATTGGATGGGGGTTTACCCCACTTTTTTGGTTGCCGGAGGTTTCCCTCGCCTCTGACGATGCCGTTTTGGGTTATCCCTCAAATAACTTGTTCAAAATCTCCTCCAAGATGGAAAAATTTCCATCAATCTTCACATGGATGGCTAAAATTTGACTTTTGGCATGTGAAAGTTGAGTTTGGAGATATAAATTTCAGATTTCAATTGTTCGATATCCCATTCCAATGTTTCTACTTTTCTTCCTGCTATAGGTTCTTGGATTCAGGCTCCCATAGCAAAAAACAATAACTTTGATGCGAATCTGACCTCCAAACTAAAAAAAACAGCAAAATTAGAGAGGAAACGTAGCAGAAATCAGTTTGGAAGACTTCTATTTCAGCCCAAGAATTTGCTTTGGTACTAATTTGATAGGAAGCATCTGTTGAAATCACAATAAACTTGGCTGAATTTGAATTTTAGCAAGGTGCAAAATCATAAATAAGAAGAACGTAGGGGAAACACAAGAGAGAAATGATTATATTGATAGTAGATGGAAGAAAACACACAAGATACAATGAATCCTCAATTAGAGAGGATGATCTGGTTTCCGAATCTATAGCCAGCGGCTAGAGCCCAAAACACCTTAAGAAAGCTATGAAATTCAACAAACAAGACTTAAAAACTAACCTTAGGGTAAATACTATATTTAAAGCATACAAAATATAGTTAATGCCAAAACAGCCCTGCTAATTTGAATTTCCCTCTTAATCCTCTCTTTAATTTCCTCTTAATTGTTGACCTTAATTGCTGTTGGATTGTTGGACCTCACCCCCAATTAAACAGGCGGAAGCCTGTTCCGCCTAAATAGGCAGAAGCCTGTTCCACCTCAACAAGCGGAATCGTTTAACACGCTTCATCTATAATTATAATTCCCTTGCAAAATAAATATTTGGATAGTATTTCATTCTCACGATGTTATAACTTATAAATTGTAAATAAAATGCTTGTTTTAACGACTTTAATATAGGAAAGTAGAAAAAAACTCAAATTGTAAATAAAAGGTTTGTTTTAACGACTTTAACTTAGGAAAGTAGAAAATATCCGAATTGCCCAGGTATAAAGATTGTCTGAAATTGTTGAATGCGACTATCACACAATGTTTCCCTTATTTTTTGATGTAGTCTTGGATCAAATTGTTTTGATATATGTTACCTTGTTTAAAGTATATCGATGTAAATGCATCTTCGTATTGCAATTTTATTTGAGGCTCAATGCCTTTATTTTACAAGTTTGTACATTATAGGCAAGAGTTCTTGATGTCCTATACCGGCCTTTTTAGGGTCAAGACTTTTGTTCCCTTTCCTATATTTCCTTTTAAAGCTGTTCTAATTTTTTGTTGGGCTTTCTTGCGTCAGTTTCATTATAGCTCCTCTAATATTCTTTTCTCAACGATCAATTTTGAACTTTTCCTATGATGCTCGTTTTCTTGTTTTTCCTAATTTTTGAAATTCACATTAATTAGATGCTTCATTATTTGCTCATTCATTTATATGCTTCAATCATGGAACTCTTGCTAATTCGTAGCTATATTATGATTATAACTATACTTTTCATTGAATTTTTATCTTGTCTTTAAAAAAATACGGAAATCCATATCTATCTTGTTTTTCTAACATATTCTTTATTAGGAGGATAATGGTGCAATGTTTTTTTTTTTTTTTTTTTTATTTTTAATTTTTGTTTTTTTTTTTTTTTTTTTTTTTTAAATTTTAAATTATGATTTGTAAGTCTTAGATTTAAAGCATGAAACAGCCGTCTACTATGAATAGAAATACTTCATTGATCAAACTACCCCAAACCTCATGGTAATGGGTGCATTATTGAGAATATAACTCTTAGGTCTTTACCATATCATTTAAATTTGCTGTTATTTTGTTATTTATGTCAATGATTTCTGTAGTATCTTATCTTTTACCATACATGGACTGGTTTAACAATTGTACTTTTACAGGTACATACTTGTTAAACTAGTGGACATACGCAAAGAAGTGCAATGCCCTATCTGTTTAGGTATGCAATCTATGGGATTCTTCTTGTTTGTTACTATTTAAGCGTAAAATAATATATTGTTAGCAAAACTTTCTGGCTACCTGCTGTAATGCTCCTAGTATTTAATCATCGAAGATATGAAAACTAGTTTTGTTGCATCATTAGTTTGATTGAATTGTCGCACGGATTGCTATGAATCTTTAGATTTTGTATGGTAGAACGTTTTACTGTTGTTAGTTATTGTGCGAGTCTAGGTAAAATGTTGCCTTGTTTGGGGTTTGTTGGAGAAGGCTACAGTTTTTTGTAAGCGATGTAATGCATTGTATTTTCCTTTGAAATTTTATTATGGTATGACTGAAGGTAATGCAGTAATCCACAAATTTTTTTTCCTTTTCCTAGTGAGTTCCCGTTTGTGACCAACATATGACTAGCCGTATACAATGTATAATATCTATAGTACGTTCTAGGTTTTTACCGTATGATTTGGGGGCCGTACTTGTAAGTATTCAAGGGTTCCCTATTTTATTGGTTTGAGTTATATTCCAATCATGGATTTTACAATTAAATCAATTTCATGAAACGTGTTTTAGCAGTGCAAATTTCTAATTAATAAAATTAATATTTTGGTAAATAAATAAACTAATTGATATATTGAATCCAAAATCAAATTAGTTTAACCTGAAACTACTGATACCATCAAAGCTACCAATAATGCCGTGAATGAAAAACTCAATTAGGTTTATAACTTTGCTGTTGAGACTTTTTTTTTTGTGATTCTAAGGCGGCCTTAGCCATGCAGTACAAACAACGAGATTAGGTAAAAACTTAGATTTAGCTTTCATGTTTAAGGGACATAAACTAGTTATGCTTGACTCATACAGTTAAAGGATATTGATAGGAAACACTAGTAGATCTCAAGTATTTCCTATCAATCTTCGGAAAACAAGAAGAATTCTCCACAAAAATCCGCACAAAATCACAAAAACAATAGATAATTTGTATTATTTGATGAAAGGGAAACGGAAAATAGCAAGATATAATTGATCCTCTATTTGAGAGCAGGATCAATCTCTCCCAAATTTCTAGACGCCGTTAGAGCCCAAAAGAAAACCTAAATCTAAGAGATTTCAAATTTCAGTCAAATTCAAGATGCCCTAACCCTAGGAAAACAATCTATTTAATGCATACAAATCAAAAGGAAATCCCTAAAAAGTCCATACATTCAAATTCCCCTCTAAAATCCCTCAAAATTCCTTCCAAAACTGTTCTTTGGAACCAGTCGGCTTGTGCGGCTTGTACAAGACGCAGAACTCCTCCGCCATTTCGCGCATGGGCTGGTCCCATCGGACCGGTTGGACCGATCTAACAATACTCCCCTCCCAAAGATCCACTTTGTCCTCAAGGTGGAAATATGCTCGTGTTCCCGTGGAGGTAGCCATCGTTGAGGTGGCTGAAAAATCTTATCGAATTTCTGAATCAAGGGTTGCACTGAAACAGAAACATTCCCTCCCTCCTCCAATATGATCACCTCCAGGCTATGTAGTCCCACCAGATAATCTTCCCCCACCTCTTGTATGTCCCTAACCATGGTCTTAAGTTATACCATGACTTTGGATAGCTCTGCATATCCCCTTATAATAACTTTTTCTCCCATCCACCATTAATTCCATAATGAGTGCTCCCCAATTATTCTTGATTTCCCCCAAGGTTTGCAATCACTTCATCCCCAAGATGACATCAGTACTTTCTAACTCTAGTGGGAGAAAATCCTCCCTTACCTGAATCCCCTGGATAGTTAACACCACTCCTCTATAGATCCCCTAGCCTTTCTCCACCTTCCTTGTACCCATCATCACCCCATAATAACCGGTGTCCACCAATTTCACTCCCAGTTGGTTGACAACCTTAGTGAAAATGAAATTATAGGTAGCCCTGCTGTCAATCAATAATACTACATCCATGCCTTCTATGTCCCCTTTCACCTTCATCATATGATTCAAAGTGAATCCTACTACTGAATTCAGGGAGACCTTTGCCACATCAAGATGGAACTTATCATCCATCTCTCTTTCACCTCACTCAATTTTCTCGTCATCACAGACACTGAGAAACTGAAGAGTTCGATACACATGTGTCATGGAGTATACTTCTCATCACACCGAAAACATAACCCATTTGCCCTCTTCTCATGTATCTCCTTTTCTGTCAGCATCTTGAAATTTTCCCCACTCCCTCCTAAGCATCTTGAAATTTTCCCCACTCCCTCCTACTAGCTTCTCCCTAGTGGTCTCATGAAATCCTCCTGATGCCAAACCCTTGGGTGTTAAATGAGTAGTTGTCGTCCTGTTAGTGCCTCATGAGCTGCTACTCCATGCTCTCCTCTCTAGATTCTTCTGATTTTCCACCAGTTGGGCGAATTTCATGGCCTCTCCCAAGTCACAAGGCATCATGACTTTCACCGCCGCTCTGATTTCTGCCTTAAGCCTCTTTATGAAGTTCCCTCCCAAAGCAGACTCTGATAATCGCTCCACCCGACTGGCCAGATGCTCGAACCGCTTCCGATAGGCTGCCACTGATCCATCCTGCACCAGTGCGAAAAACTGCTTATAGCAGTCTCCTCCCTCATCAGTTTGGAAATGTTCTAATAAACAGTCTTTGAATGCTCTCCAGCTCCTTATAGGCCTTCTGGTCCCGTTATTGGTACCATGACAATGCCTTCCCCTCTAGACATAGGCCTGCATCTGCCAATTTCTTCTCATCCATCAACCCATTGATGACGAAATACCTCTCCACCTTATAAATCCACCATACGCATCTTCCCCTTCGAATATGGGCATCTTTAGCTTCCTCACCTTCTGATCTCCCGTGTTTCCCCTTATTCCTCTATAGCTTCCCCTCTCCCAAGTGCTTGGCCCTCCCCACGTCTCCCGGTCTTCCCTTGGCCTGTCATAACCCCCCTTCGAATTCCCCTCTCCTTCCTTCAAATTCAATGTCTCGGCGACCATAATATCCCTCCCAGCATTTCCAATCAGCACCCTTTTGCTCTGCCCCCTCATACCCATGCCTTTCCCCATACCAACCTCCTTTATCCTACCTCTGGAAAGGCTCCAGATAGGGTCTTCTTCTTTCTGTCTGCACAATCTCCACCTCATCTTCCCCCCTTTGAATTTCAGAATTCGTGTTTTTCCCTTCCAACCATTTTGCCACAGAAGCCACTGTTTGGTTGTGGATTTCTAACATTTTCTTCATCATGTCCCGGAGATCGGCTACTTGTCCTTCCATGGAGGAAGTCCTTTCCTCTACCCTTGTCTTGATTTTGTTAATCTCCCCTTCTAGTCTTTCTTCTAGCGCATCTACTTTCTTGGCCGCCATCTCTCTCCTAATTTTTGTAGGTTCAAAATTTTGGATTTGGATCTAAAAAAAAACAACTTCCTCCTTTGCCAGCCAAAAACCAGCTGCTGAAACATGCCAAAATTAGCCCTCCAATGGCCCCAAGACTTGCTCTGATACCAATTTGATAGGAAACACTTGTAGATCTCAAGTATTTCCTATCAGTCTTTAGAAAACAACGAGAATTCTCCACAAAAATCTGCACAAAATCGCAAAAACAGTAGATAATTTGTATTATTTGATGAAAGGGAATTGAAAAATAGCAAGATACAATTGATCCTCTATTCGAGAGGAGGATCGATCTATCCCAAATCTCTAGACGTCGCTAGAGCCCAAAAGAAAACCTAAATTTGAGAGATCTCAAATTTTAGCTAAATTCAAGATGCCCTAACCCTAGGAAAACAAACTATTTAATGCATACAAATCAAAAGGAAATCCCTAAACATTCCCTACATTCAAAATTCCCTCTAAAATCCCTCAAAATACCTTCCAAAAATGCTCTTTGGAACCCGTCGGCTTGTGCGACTTGTAGCCTTGTACAAGAGGTGGAACTCCTTTGCCATTTCACGCACAGGCCGTTCTCGTCAGACCGGTCCAATGGACGGGTCTAACGTATATGAATCATCGAATATTGTCAGACTCTTATTACAAAAATTCTAATAGAGAATAAAGGGAAGCTATAATATTTATTCGGTCGAATAATATTACTTGATGAATATAACAAGTTACGGTGGGATTTAGGCTGATTTTCTGGATATTGATTTTTGTGTGGAATTTAAGAGGGGTTTATGGAAGGAGAAATAATGGGTGTAGGTTTATGGAAGGAGAAATAATGGGTGTAGGTATTCTATGGATATCTTAGGAGTTTATGAGGGAGAAATAATGGGTGTAGATGTAGGTATTCTATGGATATCTTAGGAGTTTGAGGGACAAATAATGGGTGTAGATGTAGGTATTCTATGGACATCTTAGGACTTTATGAGGGAGAAATAATTGGTGTAGGTATTCTATGGATACTTAGGATGTTTGAAAGAGACTATGATGTGGAAGTTTGGTGTGGATTTAAAGAAAGATAAGTTGGTTGGATTGAGACATATTTTGGCTAGTTGGCTTAATTTGGGAAGAGAAAGAGGTTAGAAGTGTTGGAATTTAATAGTTAGGGGAATGCGCCGGAGAACTAAGTAAAGGAAACCCAACAAAATAAAGAAATAACATACAATTAATAGGATTATCATCATAACCTCAAAAAAGGATGGGTATTGCTTTCAATCTCACCCAAGGAAGAGATGGAAAAACTAGGTAATCTCAATTTATATTCAAAATGTGATGCTTATAACCTAGCTTTCAATGACTATTCATAGGCTTTTACAAGATAAAAAAAACGGAAAGACATAAAAATAGCAAGGGTCACATAAGAACATAAAAGATTCTTACATGAATGTCCATGACCAGCCAGATAACTATGTGATTTAATGAAATAGGAAATATTAGTCTCTTCATCTTTCATCATCCCATAAAAGAGTTTTCATGTATAAGCTATTTCATGTACATTCCAAATCTTCAAAGAAAACTGCATCATGACTATGCCAAATCTTCAAGTAGAGGCTACCTCATGACCACTCTAAATTTTCGAAGAGAAGTTACCTCATCATACTTTCACCTCCATGGCTGTCCAACAGTATTTCAAATGTCGATTTTACCTCTAAGAAGGTTGACCCAAATAAGAGTGCATGATAACATTAAGTTCCCATACAATGTTGTGCTAATTTGTCTTCATGTTCAGACATTTAGTCTCTCTTTTTCCATAACGACAAAAATAATCCAAATACATAAAATGAAAGAGAAAATTACATATTTACATGAAGGTGTGATGGACTTGGGAAAGGGAAGATTAGTCCTCATCTATATTTATTTGCATTAAATTTCTTTTCAAGTATTGTAATTGATAAATTTTTACTTTTTAAATCCTTAATTCAATTTTAGATGTCGATGTTTTTGGCAAAATTTTCATGTTTGTTAGAATTCTTGAGGAGCTTTGATTGGAATTTGTTTTTGAAAATTACTATAATTTGGGAGTTCATGCTCTGCTTACATAAATTTTTATTATGTGAAAGACTCATCGTTTTTTTACTAATGATATGTTTTTTTTAGGTTAAATTTTTTTTTTTGGAAAATAGAAATCAAATTGAGTTTGTTATGAGATATCTCTCTTTATGGCAATGGCTTTTTATCTTCATATTGTTTGATAACTTTTTTTTTTTGGTTTGGGTTCTTGTCATTTGACTAGATTTTTTTGCGACATGATGCAACGCGTCGTAAATTTTGTTGTGGTCAAACTATAGTGTGTTATTTTCAATAATATATTGTGAATTTTTTGTAAGAAATTTTTTTGATCAAATTCGGGTACTTAGCAAGCTAATTTTGTTTTATTTTATTCATTGTCAACTTGTTAATGAAGTTCACCTACCTTTTTTTATGGATTTCCTGCTTTATTACCATTAGCTACATGTCCGTTGTATCTTTTTTGTAGAATTTAAGGAACTTAAAAGTTTAGTTTCACAATATATTACTTGCAATTGGAGCTATATGAAGCTTCAGAATACGAGCCAAATAAAATCCGTTCATCTTTTGGATTGTAATTGTAGAACATTTGTTTATCTTCTCTTCTTGCGCCAAGTGAGTGAGAGATGAATTGAGAGAAATGGGCTGTGTAAAACTATATATTGATGAAGAGTATTGCTTTTCAATCATACTTCTTAGTTCTTACTATTATGTTGAGGGTTTCGATCATTATATTGAAAATTATATGCATAATACATGAAGAGTTTTGAGTAGGTGAAGTAATTCTATCCAGCCTAATAAGGAATCTATAGCGGTATTTTTAAAACATACACCAGCTAGTGGCAGACGATCCAGTATCTAACACTCAAGGCAATTAACATCACTACAGGCTACAAGATGAAGAGAAGAATCAATCGGAAAGAACAAGTCATGGCTAGTGTCCCACTATGATATCAAATGATTCAATGAAAGACATCTAAATGTACATGAGGGGGATTTTACATAAACTGATTGACTTGTTCAACCACAAATAAAATATATTGGTAATTGTCAAATAGTTCAAGTTGCCTTCGATAGTTGAAATACGGTTCTAACTAAATATCACCTTCCTCACTATGATAGATTGTGTTTACTTCTATTGGAGTACCTATATGAATAGTATTTCAAGGCTTGTCAAAGTAATCAGATTCTTTTTATACCTATTTTTGTTTAGATAAATACTAGACAAATTACGGCAAACTTCCAAATCTAAGATGTTATAGTACCACAATTCTTAGTATAAAATGTGGGTTGAAGATGTTACAAATTGGTAATTAATGTCACAAATGTTCCAATAATAACAATTTCAACATAAAATTGAAGAAGAACAATACCAATAGATGTCTTAAAAAGTAATGAAGATGAGTCATATTGGCTCTGTAGCCTCTGTTTAATGGAGAAACGAAGGTTGATATGAAGTTATCAAAACATGTATCGGGAACTTGTTTCAATTCATATAAAGAGCGATTCAGTTTACATGCATATGAAGAAGAGGTGGAGGAATGTCGGTTAGAGGAACTATGTAACTATCTTCCTTGATATCACCATGAAGAATGATGTTTGAATGCCATTTGGTGGAGCGGCCATCCTTGTGAAGCAATGATAGAGATAACTATTTGTGTTGTTGTCATTTTAGTCACTGGAACAAAATTTTTTTTCATAGTATAGCCCATATTCTTATATGTTGCATGAACAACTAAACATGCCCTCTAGTGATCTGGTGTATCATTAGAGAAAAGCTTGATTGAATAATCCATACATAACTTTAACATTAGGATAATAATGAGCAATATCCCATACATGTTTATTATTAAGAGCTTGAAGTTCTTCAGGTATAGCTTCATTCCAACAATAATGTTTACGAAACTTTAAATAGTGCGAATGAATGAGAATAGAAGCCAATACATTGTGAAAGCCATACCATTTAGGATGATGATAGATTATGGAAGGCCAACAAGGAGCAATGATCAAATTCTAGTCTTGGGCTTAGGTGGTGGATCAATTCTCATAAGCATGAGTTTGGCTCAAGAAATGGTAAAGTTGAATGTTTTATTCCATGCACAAATCTAAGTTTGAATCATTCCTGACTAACATTTAATTCATCAAAATTATGAAGAATATATATCTTTGATTTAGGCTCAATATGAGTAGGGTAGAATATTGATGTTCAAAGATAACAACATGATGAGAGATACTAAATCTTTTGGAGCATGAATCATAAAAAACATAACCTTCATGAGAAGTGCTACAACCTATATATATACACTTAACAATTGTGATAAGAGTTTATGGCATTCATGAGACGCAGACAAAACAAATTAATACAACCAAACATATGGATATCATAGTGTTGGATGCTTATAAAGGAAGCGATAACAAAGAAAATTCAAACTTCAGAAGGTAATTTATTAATTAAATAGACATTTGTGCTTTAACCTAGAATTTAGGTGGAGCAAAAGATTCAAGCAATAAAATTCTTCGGTCTATTATTTAGAATGATGGTGAAATAGATGGGGATATTATTAGTAGAATTCAAGTTGGATGGTTGAAGTGGAGGAATACTTCGGGCATGTTGTGTGATAGAAAACTATTTATCAAACTTAAGGGAAAATTGTATAAGATGGTGGTGAGACTTGCAATGCTTTATGGTGCAGAATGTTGACCATTAAAAGAGAAGCATAATATTATGTTAAGTGGTGTAGTAATGAGGATGCTTAGGTGGATGAGTGGCTTTACTCTTAGAGATATGATAGGTAACGAGCATATACATGAAAATGTTTAGTAGCTCTAGTGGCAGATAAGATTAGAGATAGTCGCCTTAGATGATTCATATAAAACTGCAGCCTTCCGATGACTCGGTTAGGAGGGTAGATGTATTAGATTTGTCTTATGTTAAGAAAGGTAGAGATAGAACTAAAAAAGATTTGGTTAGACAATATTAGAAATGACATTTCTTTATTAGATTTAAATGAGAATTTGACTCTTAGGTCTTAACATGACCCAATGGAGAAAAACTAATTTATGTAGCCGACCCCACATAGTGGGATAAAGGCTTGATTTTGTTGTTGTTGTTGTAATATTTGAGCTTTATTAAAATGCTTGCATTTTGCCTTGGTTCCTTAGTTTTTATTTTCAAATGGATATTGTTACCTTGTTTCTGGAGAAAAGGCTCACTATTTCAATTTCTGCTATATGCTAGGAATCATCCGGAAGACAAGAACAGTAATGGAGTGCCTACATCGTTTTTGTAGAGAATGTATTGATAAATCTATGCGACTTGGGTATGCTATGATACATATGATTATTTGATGTACATCTTTCCATTTCCGTAGGCTTGCTTCCTTGTCATATTTTTTTTTGCTAACTTGTAGAGTTGATTTTTGTGCTTTACTGTAAATTCTGCAGGAACAATGAGTGTCCAGCTTGTCGCACTCACTGTGCAAGTAGGCGTTCTTTGAGAGATGATCCCAACTTTGATGCCCTGATTGCAGCTTTATACCCAGATATAGACAAGTATGAAGAAGAGGTAAAAAAATGCCATGGCAATGGCTATTAAACACATGTAATTTGGGCATAAAATAATTAAGCGTTGTTTGAATTGCTGACATTTAAATATCAATATTATAAAGATAAAAGAATCAAAGTGCTCTTTTAACTCTTTATGAAAATCTAAAATGATTCCCAATTATATTAAAGAATCATTTTGATCTCTCAAATTTTTAAAGAGAAATCAAAATAATCCAACCAAAATGGGATTATATTGGTTCCTTTTCGAAGCAAAGATCAAAATAATAGTTTATCTTTCGAAATGACTATATAGAATATTATGATTGAAACTATTAAAAGATGATTGTTTGGTAGAATTGTTATTTGAATAATTGTATAGGTAACATTGAACTAATCAAACTAATATTTAGAAGGTATAGTCTCTTCTATTTTGTAGTCTTATATAAGCATGTAAATATTTAAGAGTTGTTTTGTCTGCTTACATCTTTAAAAAACTAATATCATGGATGACATTTATGCACTATTTTGATGACATCTTGATATTTGTCAAATAAGTCAATATCTAATGTTAGGCTAACAAATATTTAAAAAAAAAAGAAAGAAAAAAAAAACTCAAAGAAACATCAAAATTTTAATTGATTTTTCTAAATGACTCTACCTTATTAAGATAATATTAAACCAAGCAAACTACATTTCATAGATTACATTTTTATTAGAAGGTATCTTCTCTTTAATTTAGTATATAGTACTTTCCTTTCAACATTGGAGCTCTTGTTTTACATAAATGTCTGGTTGCAGGAACTAGCTTTTCATGAGGAAGAGAGAAATCGCTATAAGAAGGTAGTCAAGCACAGTTTGAACAATATCTATTATTATATTTCCTCTGAACGCTGTGTTCATTTTCCAGTAACTAACAAGATTCTTTCTAAACAGATACAAGCTTCCATAGCTGAGACATTTCGGCGACAATCAGAAGCACTCGGTAAGAGGAGGCCAATGTCTATGAGAAGATCTGATTGTAGCTACCGAACCGGACAAAGACAAAACGGTTATCTCCGTGGCAGAGGTAAAGCTACAGCTCGAAATGCTTCGCCTGCGGTATCAGATGATGATGATGACGAATATGCTAATGGCAATGATGCTGGCAAAGATTCATCCTCTGCAGAAGAGGCTTCTCCTGATAGAAGACCGAAGAGGTGCAGGCTAATGGCTGCTCCCAGGTCTTCACCAGCCAGAATCGCCGGCAATGTCGATCTTGGTTATGGAGAAAATTATGACTTGGAAATGAATCGAGAAACCATGCGCACTTCCCCGTTGCGAGCCGGAAACAGAGAGCTTTCATGGGGTAAAGGTGGCGCTCGAAGCCAAACTCGGCATGGTAACAGCAGTGGTTCTAATGGAAGATTTTTGAAGGCGGCTCGATTAGCCAGGTTGATGGAATACCTGCGTAATTTGGAGGAAAATGAAGATAAGGTATTCACCAAACAACTGGAGCAATTTGATTCTATATTTCAGAATCCCTCAAACTTAATACTATGTTTCGCTCTTGTTGACAGTATGAAATACATCTGAAACTGATTCCTTTGAATGAACAAAGCTTGCATTTGGAAAGTCCATATATCTGCTGCCCACCAACCATATCCATTAGACATATACTCCAAGTGAATAATACTTCCAAACCTTTTGATAATCGCCTTCAATTTTCAAGCTTAAGAAAACTATTCATTTAATCAAATTATATACTATATACATGCAATTTTGCAGTTCATCGCCATTCAAACGTCTGTGCAAGTTGAAGGGGTTGCAGTATTTGTTAAAAGGCGTCAAAATGATTCTGTGGAGCTGTCTAACCAAGTTGAGAAGGTCCAAGCTGACTCCTCTGAAGAATTCCAGATATTGGATCCAGAAGAATCACTCGTTGGATTGCTAGCTTCTTATAGTTCTAATCGAGGTGATCTGGTAAGAAAGTTCAATTTATGAAACATAAGCACCAACTAATGTGACTACGGCTTCGTTTGGGATAGTTTTCGTACTACTTTTTAAGACTGGCTTTCTAGCATAAAAATTTTAAATTAAAAAAATTTTATACGAAAAAATTGTTTTAAAAAGCGAGAAGGAAGCTGTCCCAAATGAAGCCTACGTCCTATCTATATAGACTTAGGTTGTTTAGTATAAATTGTACTTTTCATTTATTGATTTGATGGATAATTTGTTTTCAGGAATTAGTGTACTGCGCTAATGCCGATAGAGAGAAAGCCAGTTGAAGATAATTATTGTCAGCTGGACATCTTTGCAGCTGAGTCTATTGAGCTGTATGCTTTGTTGTATAAATGCAAAATGGAATATCGAGAGAATGTTCAATTGACCTCGTTCAGATTATATCAACAAATTCTTTGTAAATCGCATGGTATGATCTCAACACTATCAATGGAAAAATGTCCTAACTTTCTCGTTTGTTGCAGTTTTTTTTTTAACTGTTTTTCTGGCAGGAAAAATGATTAGAAACACCCATGTCTATTTAGATGAAAAAGTTGCATAATTTTTATGCTATTTTTTTTTAAAATTGTTTTGTAAAGTTGTTTTTGAGAAAACTGAATGGAAATTGTAACGGTTTTGTTTGGGATAGTTTTTTTAATGACTTATATTTTTTTGTGTTGATGAATCTATTAAAAATTGTAATATCTCAAACTTTATCACCCATTATGAAATATAGGAGTCGGTTGGGACGGCTGCAATGAATTATGAAGTTGATTCTGAAGTTGATATGTAGAAAACAATTTAGATTTTGTTTGAGATAGCTATTTTAATGATTTATAAAGCAAATTTTTAGTATCATAAATTTCTTTATCTGTTTCATGTTTAAGGCTTTTAATGAGTCTAATTTGGTTGAGTATTATTTTGTTGAAATTTTTGTTTTTTCCCTTCAATTAAGTTCGAGTGAAATTGAACATGATTTGAGTTCTAAGAAATAATATAATGTAGATCTTGTGTTGGAAAGCAATTTTTATTGATGCCAATAAAATTTTGTGAGAATCTTCTGATTTGAAAATAAAATTTTATTATTGAATAAATTTTTAAACGTAGTTTTTTTATTGGAATTGTTATAGTTATGATATTTATTTGAAGAAACTCATCAATTACAGACCTATTGAATATGAATCTTATTTTAGAATGAAACAATAAAACTTCTGAGTGATTCACATACTTCTTGATTCATCTTCAAGAGAACTTGTGAGTTCTTTATTAAACTCTAGGCACTTACAAATTGGCTGATGAATAACCTCTTGAACTTTGTAATGGAGCTACTGGAGGGCCAACTCCTTGAAGATGGTAAGAAATAAATGACACTCCAATGACTCATTGATGTCGAGCAACAACGCCATTGATTGTTGCTATCATTTTTTTTTTTTTTTTTGAATATTTAGGTCAATTAAGACAGAATCATACACACATCGTATACAAAAGACTTGAATTTAAAACCTCTTAATTGATAGCATAATCTCCAAACTAACATACCAAGATGAGTTGTGTTTATATATGATCCTAATTGCAAAGTTTTTTGTCACCGCTTCCCATCTTTTTGGCGTGCAAGCTTATATAGGTTTCTCAACAAATCTTTTTTTGGCCCCTTACATGTTGGTGTACTTTCTTTTATTTTAATAGATTAGACTAAGCCCTTCATTATTCTCCAAAAAATATTCATTTATATACTAAGTACTATATATATCTAAGAATGGGTCTTTTGCTTCGAGTAGTGGGAAACAGCTTTAATATATAATTTTTTTTTTTTTTTGGACATTTAGGTCATTTAAGGCAAACTCACACACACAACGCATAAACATAGACTCGAATCCTGAACCTTTTAGTTGGAAGCCAAAGCTCTCAATCAATAGGTCAAGGAGAGTTGTGTTAATAATATATAGATTAGACTAAGCCCTTCTTTTAATTTCTTGTTTTTAATTTAAAATTCAAAAGGATAAGGATCATGGCAAAGAAAATTTGGTTAGAAGTGCTTTTTTTTTTTGAACTACTTATGCGCATCACTTACTTATATGAATGATTGAAGAATAATTATTGATCATAAATTAAATAGACTATAAAATAATTATGATAATTAAGATTAATGATAATGATGATAAGTATATACTTATAAAGAATAATAAAAGAAAATAGAATTATGGTGAATAGAGGGCCTTCTAATCATATCAAATAATACTATTAATTAGCATCTTACAATTGAGACTAAGTTTTATGGTTCCTTTAATTTGCCCAATACATTTCTTTTATCTGTTATATATATGTTTAGGGCTTTTTTTTCTTTTTAAACCCACACAAAGGGGCTTATGTGTTAAGATAATTAAAAAACATACAAGAACTACGTGAGTCAATAGTCCTCTAAAAATACAGCAATTGAAAGAAAATCTAAAAGCCTTTGATTCATTAAATTACAAAACACAAATAAAAGAAAAGAAAGGTGAACAAGGCTCACAAAAACAACAACAAGACAACCCAAAAAAGACATCCGGAAGAAACAACTATCAACACCACGCTCCAACCAACTCATCAATCTAATGAAGACAATCTTGAAGGTCAACATCAGCTCCCAACATGAATAGAAAGAAGAGCACCAACAAAGTTATTTCTTTGAATTTCTCTTACAACGATTTCCACCGCCATGGGAGAAGGTCTCATGCACAATGTATCCCACATGCAAAGAATACATCTCTTGCAATTCATCCACATCATCAACTAAATCACCCCCGACACCCCTGCATGCTGAGGAGTAGGAATCCTCCAACCAATCCGATAGGTCATCATTATTCAAAGATAAAGACAATTGAGCTTTCAATTTTGCATTAGAAACAACTGAAATAGGAACATCAACAATAGGCTTATTTCCCTTAAAAACCTCCACATGAGGAGTCAATTGCACCCCCAAAGAAGCTACAGGTGAGACATGAATGATATCATTCAAATCGTTTGAAGACTATCCAGAGCATTACCTAGACAATGCCCACCATCCACATTTTAATTTGCATCATAAACAACATTATCTTTGTAAGAACTAACCCTGGCAATGGCATCTTCCACCATATCATCAAGCGGGTGATCCAAACCAACCGATTGAGTATCTAAATTGTCAATAAGTTTAGTCGAAACATCAGCAGCAACCAAATTATTCGATGCAATAGCACCAGCAATAAGAGGGGTTGAAAGCACAGGTTCAGACAAAAGCTCAGTACCACAAGAAACTAAGGGAGAGCAACAGCTTGTATACCAACATCACGAATAACATCAGCTTCCCCACACCCGAGCACCATTCCAACACCACCAATACCTTGAGAGGGCTGAACATGAGGAGGGGAATTTCCATCTAAATCGATAGTATTCAAAGCAGCAGGTGCATTCATAATGGCATTCCCATTAGACGGAGTGGGATTAGACATAATAGGAGGATCAGTATTTGGAACATATGAATGGGAGGAACATTCACCCATAACATGCCTAATGCATTTACAAGAATCACAAAAGGATGGAAAATCCTCCATCTCAACCATCTGTATGTAACTGAACTTTTCAGTGCCAAGCCAAACTTTGTCCGAATATTTTTTGGTGATGTCAAGCTCAACTAAAACCTGTGCAACAGAGGCTCGAGAACACACAGATGTAGCATAGTAGGCTTTTAGGGGCCGACCAAACATAGAACCAAAAGCATGAAGGATCCGTGGAGAAAAAGATATGGCATTAATTTTGGAAAGGAAACCCAAATGAGAATCAGAGGGGACTCAACACCGATATCGAGAGAAGGGGACCATTTGTTAACTTTCATAAAATAGTTATATACCAAATATGATATGTGAAAAAAGACTATGATATAATCTAGATAATTTGACCACTTAATCAGAACATGTGACTCATCAAGTAAAGTCACAGAAAAATCAGCAATAAGCTTAAGATTGAAGAAAAACTTGCGAATAAAATTCAAACTAGGATGACATGATGGAAAAAAACCCACCAACACAAATTGGAAAGGAGCCGCAAGCGTAAGAATCTCATATTCGGAGATCCACAACGAAGGAATACCATGAAATGAAGATGGTTTTAACTCAGAAAACCTAACATGAGCGGAAGATCCAGCTAAGACATCAACAAAAGATTTAGATTTCACAGATCCAACCAAAAAGCCAGGATCACAAACTCGAATAGCGGCCATTCCGACCTCCAAGGGCCGGAGGAGGGCGACACAAGAACCAAACAAACTAAGCACCACAACAAAAAAAAAGGAAAAGGGAAGGAGCTTCCTGAGCACGAGGAGTCCAGCACGCGGAACGAGAAACCCCGGGAGGGAGCCCTAGAGAACGAACAATTATTACGTCCTATGACCGGACGTAGAGCTACGTTCGGCCGTCAATAACATGTCGCCACGTGCTCTTACTCTTTACCGCGCGGCCCGACGACTTGACCCGGACCGGAACCCGGGAATGCCATGTTTGCGTATTGCGAGGCATTACTCGGTATTTGCTAGAAATACCGAGTTGTACTAGTTTTTCTAGAAAAACTCGGTACAACTTGGTATTTCTCGGTATTACTCGGTATTTGCTCGGTATTGCTCGGTATTGGTTATTGCCGAGCAAAATCGACCAATACCGAGCAATACCTAGCAAAATTGAGAAATACCGAGCCATCCTGGGTCCGTTCCGGGTCGGGTTGTCGGGCCGCGCGGTAAATAGTAAGAAAGCGTGGCGCGATTCTATTGGCGGCCGAACGTAGAGCTACGTCCTGTGACCGGACCAAATAAAAGTTCCTAGAGAACAGCTTCACATATGAAATATTTACAGCCAGTGAGATCCTGTTGTTGAATTCAGAGGGAAGAGCTCGCTTCTCCGACGTGACCTCTATAGCCAGCGAGCTCCCGTTGTTGCTTCCGATCAAAATGTCGTAACTTCCGATTTGACATGATCGTCGGAGGGAAGAGCCCTAGCGAACTAATTATATGGTCATGCGACATCAAGAATGCGATGAAACATTGAGAGTTGCTTGCTCCATATGTTTAGGGCTTTTAATGAGTCCAATTTGGCCCCACGAGGGTTAACTAGGAGAATAAAAAAAGGGTTCCGCAAAAATATTGGTTACAAAGACTATTAATTAGAAGGCAATATAGATGCATGGCTTCATGATTTAAAATAGCAGCTAATTAATTCGTTTAAAGATCTGAGATCTTGATTCTAATAATAGAAATAAATTAGTAGGTCACAATGTAAAGTTATTTGAAAATCGACACAAAAACATGTTAAAACCTATGGTGTATGGGTACTCATAATAACGACGTGAGTTGTGTCACTCATTTGAACTATGTGACATACCTCTCAATGCGTCATATATATGTTCAAGTAAAAAATGAAAAATAATTAATGGAAATTTGTTTGAAATGTTACTTAAATTGATTAGCATGGCCTCTTTTCCTGTATGATCTATATATTATTTAAATAATTTTATAGCTATATAATATTAATTCTATTTTTCTTATTTATCTCTATTTTCTTATGAGTTTATTATATTTGATATATCAACAAAAAAAATATCATGAATCTCGAGGCAAAATTGAGTTATGTTTTTGAAATTAAATCTGGGA